GCCCAAGAAAATCAGAGGATGAGAAGGATTTAGCCCTTGCTATTGTTAAAATGTGTGTTCCTCTGTCATGAGGGGTTCAATGTTAATAATGTGCCAGAGGTGAAATCAGTTTCTGGGGAGCTATTAACAGTTAACTTTGTTCATGAGAAGCAGAACCAGTGGCAGTATCACAATACTCAGATTTGCCAATAGCATTCCACTGGGTAATAAAAGCAGACAAACTATAAAATATTTACAACATGGTACCACCATTAGATGAGGTTATTTTTACAGAAGTCACATGAACCATTTTTATTTTTCAAGACCATCAGTTCTTCCTACATACCATAAACTGAAATACAAAACAGACAAACCACACCATTCTTTTTTAAATGTATTGCAATATTTTCTTGTAATGCTCAAGTTACTTTCTTCTGATGATGACAAATGCTTTGTCAGAACATTAAGCTATGTTTCTGCTTTTAAGAGTAAATGAAAATTAGCTTAATGTATTTTGTACCTTGTGTAAATCTTAAAAATTTGAAACCAAAGGGAAAAGGATAGTAGTGTATCTTGCTTGCTTCTTCAAAATTTGAATCTATGTATATGTAAAGAACCTGAGGATGCAAAATTCTTATCATACTTAAATTAACTGTAATAAAAAAGATGCTAAAGCAACATTAAAACTGCATAATGAAAACCACATGAAAATTAGGAAATACTGAATTCAGTATGTAACAGCAACTCATACAATACTTTGGCTATGCTCCTCACATTTTCCAACACTGTGGACACATCTATACGTGCACTTTACTCTAAAGTTGATTAATTAGCTCAACAGTAAAGCATCACTGGCTACATGTGCACCCGTATTAGGGTGCAGTAAATGAATTAACTCCAATGTAGGATAGTACTGTACATGCGTTGATATGCACATGTAAACAGTAACTGGGGCTAGCTGGGGCATGAGGGTGCTACAGTGTGGGAGCTGCCTGCTGGCAAGCCCCACACTACAGTACCCTTGTGTCCCAGCAAGCCCCTCTGCATGCAGTACATTCAGCCAGGGTGGAGCAGCCCCCAGACTGGCAGGCTGATTTTTTTCCCCCTCCCCCTGAGTTTCCCTGCCAGCTGGGGCTGCTTTGCCCAGCTCAATGTGCTGTGGTCCTGGGCACACATCTAAATGCTGAGCCTGGAAGCAAAGTGCACCAGAGATTATTGCTACATGCTAATTGCATGTGCACCCAGTTAGTAATAAATAAAACCAAAAGCAATGGAATAGAAAACACTATAGATGCATTCCTGTAACAATTTACTGTACATGCTTAACTGTAAGAACGCAAATTGTTCATGAAAAAAATATGCAAAAGTAGTATGGTAATGGAACTCTTAACGTTTCACTTCCCTGACTACTTGAACTTTTAATTAATGTTGTGCTAGTATAATATTTGTTTAATTTGATTTCCAGTGTTAATAACAATGCTATACAAGGTTAATATTGGATAGAGGTCTCAGCTTCCCCAAAATTAGGAGGTATTCACATCTAAAGTTTCATTTTGGTCCTGGCAAACAGAGTTTTAAAGTTTAGAGTCAGATCTAAACCTTTCAGGGTTGAGTTTTGGACTCATCTCTACATATTGAGTTAATTTAAATGCTAATTAGACTAATTAGATGAATGAGATATGGAATGAATGAGTTTCCAACTCTCCAGCTACTGCTTTATGTCTGGAAAGAACTGTAAGATTAACCTCAAGGGGCAACCATACACCTGTTTATGCTGAAATATGTTACCATTTTTATATATGAAAGCTTAGAATGTGCAGTATATTATAAAAGGTAGAAGAAGTTGGAAAGCAGTTCTAAACTTACAGGGTTTAACCTACATGCTATTTACGAGTTCCCTGGTAGAGAAGCGTCCTTGTGCTACCTTAATCCCTTTTAGTAGGGGGGGTCTTGCTATCAGAGTTGCTTGGGTGCAGGAGCATGACACACAGCCTTTGTTTCTCGATAACTACTAAGGTAGTTCTGACTCTACTTCTCCAGGCTTAAAGGTCCCAGGCCTACATGTGGCTAGACTCTCATATTTGCACAAAGCCCCACTAAAGTCAATGGAGCTCTGCAAAATATGCCTATGAGTGCGTGAAAAAGAGAGTGGAAGTTCAGGGTATCAATATTTAGAGTGCAAGAGAATTAACTACCGTAGTAGATATGAAGGTCCAAGTCAACAAGGTATTTAAGCACATGCTCAACTGTAAGCAGATGAGTTTGGGCTTACTCAATAGGAAAAAAAACATTCAATGATGTTAATTAGAGTCTGTAAGTCCTCATTTACTTATTAAAAAGGAAAGAAAAAAATCCTATGGAAACCTGGAATTTTATATGGAGGAAAGCAACAGGCTTCTATAGACAGTATTCTAAAACCTATAACATTTAATAAAGAACACATCTCCATAGACTTTAGCAACTATCTTATGGACTCCTACATCAGAGCTAATTTTCCATTAAATTCTAATAATTATTTTAAAAATTCTACAGTAAAGCTATTCTTTTCAATGAAATGTCATAGGACTTTTCTCTAGGGCAATACTGGTGAAAAAAACTGATTTCCCTTAGCAGTATATATGCAAGAAATGTTACAAATCTCAATATTGTAAAAACTTTCTGCACACCAGTATTAACATTTAATATTGTCTGTCTGTTGGGCATCTGTAAAATGATGTTAATGAATAACACAGGGTTGCCCTAGGGATTGCAATGTAGTTTAAAGTTAAATGTCCTTGTATAAAAGATTATAACAGTGCTATATGATAGAATACTTTTTACTACAGGAAAGACAGGTTTTACTTTTCCTGTTAAATCAAACAGACTTTTAGTACACCAAAACTATTTTAATTGCAAAATCTTAATTGCAAAGGTATTTTCTCTATGATGGAATATAACCATGTGAAGATTGTTTCGTCATAAATCGGGATTATTTGCTGTGTCGTTGCCTCTTATTATAACAACTCTCTTGTCTTTTTCTAAAGTATATTTGCCACTTATGAAAACTGCTAGATTGAATTCATACTTCTTCAATTTTTCCACTGATAGGCATGCATGAGCAGTTCTTCTAACCATTCATTACTGTTCCAGTATGCCTCAATCAAAAGCTGAAGGCACTACGTTGTGATATTACAGAGATATTTTTTTCATGACATTCCTAAAACAAGTTGGAAGTAAGCAACATGGATGATGAAGATAGCTTCAAGTATGTGCTATCTCTTATATATCAAGTATACTTATGGGACTATGCCTAAGGGCACTAATTAGTTTTTCAATAAGGTTGCTCAGGGCACTAGACTCAATTTTAGGAAACCTGGGGTCAAATCCTTGCTTTTCCACAGACTTCCATAGATGTCCTATCCTAGACAATTCAAAAATATTGAAATACTACTATGAAAAAAAAAAAAGATTTTTGGGTAAACACCTAAATACACTTAAATTCCAGTGGTTTTCCACTGTGGATCAGATCCTTAAAATCTCTCTCCCTCCATTCTCCAGCTGTAAAATGGAGACAACATAATTTCCTAACCTCAAGGGGGTGTTGAGGGGATAAATATATTAAAGATGATGACATGTTCAGACACTGTGGTAATGAAGAACATATAAAAATGCCACGGATAGATAATATCAGGGTGATGCTGTAGCTGTCATGGTCCAGGAGACATGTGAGTAGCAAAGATTTTTGTGGGTGTGATTTTTGAGATATGGGTGAACACATTTTATTGGATCAACTGAACAGCTGAGGGGATATAGACAAACTTTTAGGTATTAAATACTCTTCCTCAGGTCTCACTGAAAGAACCAAGGCTTTTTTGGGATCAGCCAACGGGGAAAAGCCTGGGATGGTGCAGGCAGACCTCCTTAATCAGAGGGCCCGCCAGGGCCTGGCCATGCCCCCCCTCAGGCCAGCACTATGCAAGGGAAGGGAAGGCTGCTCTAGGCTCCCCCCCACCCAGCTTCTAGCTTGAGCCACTGCAGGCATTTGTCTGAATTTCCTCAGTCCAGAGAGAGTGTCTGTCCAGTTACAAACCAGTTCAGCCTAGCTAGCTTAGATTAACCTGCAAAGATTTAATCAATTCAGGCTCAGGCTTTTTGAATGTCTGTTCCTAGCTGGACAAACTGTGTAGTTGGTGGTGTGGGACATAAACAAACTTCTGGACATGAAGTACCTTTACTTGGGTCTCTCAGTGAAAGAGAGAGACGGAGACAAAAACAGAGATGGTATAGTGAGGTCTTATGCTTCATGGACAGATAGACAATTTGTAGTGAATGTGGAGAACTCTTAGGGCATGTCCCCATGAGCAGGGGCATGCAGTTGCCATGGGGAAAAAAGTAGCAATACAAATTCATGCCCCTGCTTTTTGTTTTGGCACATACCCCTGCACACGGGATTAGCCCAGTGAAAAATACTCTGGGTGGGGTAGGAGAGGCTGGGGTCTGCACCTGGAGGCTCCCTGGGGCTGCAGCAATAGTGATCCAGGTGTGTGGAGCCTGACCAGCAGCTTGAGTGTGGATCTAGCTGGCCAGGCTCCAGTTTCAGGTGGTGTACACTGCTGCCATGTCCAACACCCCACATTTTTTTCCACATGCTTTTTTCTGATAGTGGGATGTCCAAATATCTAAATTTGGCAGCACAAGAACCACATCATGTGCACAAAGTACATTTTGTGGCATTTCAAAACACACATATATGTTCATGTGCACATGGCCTTTGGTTTTTCTCTACAGAGGTTTGTAGAGAAGGACAGGAGCAACACAAGACCATTTTTGTCAGGAAAGAAATCCCACCATTTTTGCTAGGAAAAAAAGCCCACCAAATTAGATAGTTTGTCACCCTTTTGGTTTCGCTTTACATTCATTTTCATTTGATCCAAAATGATCTACTTGGAGCCCTAAAAGCTAAAAGATTTCTGAAGTGAATAGGTACTGTTTATATATCAATATTTCAGGTTAAAATGTTCCAAGCATAGCTCAATACTCACTTCCACATGCTGGCAGGTTTGAATGAGTTTAGCCAGAAGCGTTTCTAGTTCCGTATTCCTCTTAATAAGGTTCGTGAGGTTACTTTCCAAATTTTGCTGTTAACAAAGAAGAAGAAAGAACACTTCAGTATTCTGCAGAATCTAGGACTGTAAGGAAGTACATGAAAAACGTACTTTTGGGATTTGATTTTCCTAAATTTGTAGGTATGTAAATGTAAGTATCATATGAACATGCACTGCCTGGGCATGCATACACTAACATAACTACTAGAGGTCCACCAAGAAACCAGCCTCATGTACAGAGTTAGGGGCAGCTGGGCGAGGGGAAAGGGAAGGAAGGAGAGGTGCAAAAACAGGAGTGCCCGTGTTGCTGGCCTGATTGTGGCAGCTACTCCATATGTCACCACCACTGCCCAAGGTACAGATCTGCCAAGTTATGATTTGCTATGCTTACAGTAAAGTGAAAAAAGTTGGACCAAATTTCTTGACAAACAGTAAATATGCTAAGAAATGGAGTGTAGGGTATCCATGTTAGGGGCTGAATTCATTTAATATTTCCATCCAAAATATGGGGAGAAATTAAAAAAATTATGAAACATTTCATTTCAAAATATTTAAAAAGTAAAGCATCATTTCAGATACTTCAAATATTTCAAAACTAATCTTTTAATTGTTCATATTAATACAGTAATTTAAAAAGGAAAATAATTAACAAGAGGTATATCGCCTCAAAATAAAATATTTATTTTGGGTTGAATGCAGAATTATGGATTGACCCAACATTATTTTTATTTATTTTTCCCGTTTCCATGAAACAAACAAAATTGGTTTTGGTTTGATCTGAACTAAATCCTCCACTATCCTGCCACCCTCTTGAGTTTAAGTTATCTTAAAAACCTCTTAGTTTTTTAGCATCTGTTACACATGTGTTTCCATATATCTGGTAGAACTTTTTCAGATTAGGCATTTAGGCATACACTTCTTAAAACTTTACTGCAAACCAGAGGGTTTTTATTTTTTTACTATAAGTATTTGATACCAGCTAAACACAAAAATTCGGTACAGCATATTTCACATTCAGTTTAAACAAAAATACTCATAAACCTGAAAATGAATTATCATCCCTTACTTTTCCACTTAGTTTTTAGGAAAACAGTATTGGATGCTTTAAAAAAATCTAAATATGAAATACACAATATGATCCTGTGAAAATCACTGATTGTGGCTCTGTTAACATATTGATTACAGAATTGAGTTTTACCAATGGAGGATGTATTATTTAAAGTCTTTGCTCCTGGAAACAAGTGAGTATTAGGGAGTCCTAGATTTTCTTAATATAAAGGCAAATGATGTTTCTCACTTCCCTGGTTGTGGAGAAATCTATGCTTCACTGTCTGAAGGCTCAAATAACAGAAAATAAAAATTAATTCATATTTATTTTTAAATGCCATCGTTTCTGTGGGCCTGACTATTTAGGATGATGTCCAACTATTTTGGATCAGTAATATGGAGTCCTGTTTTAATTTTGCACAAGATCCTTTTTGAGATCCTTTCATACATTTATTTTCCTCCACCCTTTTGATAACTATGTAATTATTCATGATTTTTCAAAATGAACTGTGCATGATAGTCAATAGCTATTATCCTGTATACTTTAGTATGTTGATTGTTAGTTATGTTCAGATTCTTTAAGAATTTGCTTATCTGCTTTTTATCAAGTTTATATATAGTAGATCATTTTAACATGGGTGTTGGATCTGGCCCTTACTAAAAAAAAAAAGAAGATATATATGTATATACTTATAGGGTCCCTTATTTATTAAGAAGCCAATACAGCTTTGATGAGATTTGAATTGGCCCTTACTTGTATATCTTGTAAACCTTCATGCACACAAATAGCTTTACACACCTAAATCTCATTGGATTGGGACTGGTTTTATGAATAAAGTTACTCACCTATTTAAATATTTGCAATATCATTCCCTTTCTTAATATGAATAAGAAACTGTCCTTCTCTCCTTTCTAATTCTATTTTATTTGGCAAGCAGTCCCAGTGAAATGAATGATAAAGTGCCAAGTCAGAATTGGGTGCTGTCTTTTTTCTTATTTATGGAAATACAGGATCTCAGGCTGCTTGTACACTCAATGGGGGGTTTAATTCAGTTTAGTTCTCCCTAAATTGAAACAGTGGATTTTTAAAAATACTGCTTCAGTTTAAGGAGAATTAAACAGAACTAAGGCCCCATGATGTGTACACAAGGGTGGAGGCCCGATCCTTGCCTGCCTCTTTGGTGGTGGGGGGGGGACGGGGATGGGGATGAGCTGCTGGCAGGCCAAGTGGTCCCTGAGCTGTGCGGGGGGGGCGGTGACACCCACCCACTGGCACCCGGCTTGGTCAGTCCCAGGGGCATCACAGCCATGGAGGGAAGCGCTGCCCCCCACAAAGGTGAGGAGGGAAGCACCATGCCCCCTGCATAGGTTGGGCAGGTAGGCAGGCTCCAGGGAGAAGAAAAAGAAAGATCAGTCTTGCCACTTTTTTTTCTTGTTCTTCAGTGGAGCCTGCCTGCATGAACTGCCACTGGTTCCCATAGCCCCTGAGCTGTGCGGGGCTCATGAAGCCCTGAGCACATTGGTTTCCAGTGCCCTGTGCACTCCTGTACCCCAGATGTGTTTTATCTTGCTATCTACCAAAATCATTTAAAGCAGAATATGCTGCCGAGAATGCAAACAGCAATGCCATTAAAATTGAATACGCTGCTGAACATGCAAACAGCAATGCCATTAAAGCAGTGCAGAAGGACATTTAAGCCACTTTAAAGGCCAATTTTGTGGTGTGTACAAAGGCCTCAGATGTCAGAATCATCATTAATTTCATCCTTGCTCCTCTTTATTAATTAACTTCAGTGAACTTCTTTTTCTCCATCATGTCCACTTTTCCCCTGATATATTTGTTATATACCCTTTGGCTAACATTAATTCATTTGGCTGTTTTCCCCCGCCCTTATCTTCTTGGTGCTTTGTTTTCCTTTGTGTTGACACTACCTTCCTGTTCCATATTGTTTTTGTAAAGCTCAGATCTTAAAGCACTCCTTCTGTATCCTTGCTGTTTCTGATTCACTCTTGCATGCTGCTAAAAGTACATAAAGGTCAAGTGTATTTCATTGCTGAACCATACATAATGCAGTATTTAGAAGCAACCCTTATTACCATGTATGATGCGAAAAACACTGATGGACCACTCAACTGTTGTATAATCACAGACAGTACAAGATTTCCATAGTCCTACATATACAGCTCCTCCAAGTGGTTTGATGAGGCATACAAGGCCAATTATTCTGGCTTTCTGCTGTCACCCATGAAAGTTGCAGATATCATGATATAGCTATGAAAATACCTTCTGCAGCTCTATCCCTGGGGAATCTTTAGCAATCCATTAAAAAAGTGCACCTGGAAATGTAAATTCTACATGGCAAGCCCACTTAAAGGTCATTATTTGACACAACTGACACTCACACTTTGGACATATGCATGATTAAGAGAAATGTTCACCAAGCTAACATATTTTTAAAAATCTTAGTAGCCTGCAAGAGCATGACATTCAGGCCACAACCATTTAAATAGCTGGTATTTTTCTGTGGTTTACACAGAAACTTACCTAAGCTATTGCAATTCCTGGCTAAAAGTATGCTAACCTATTTTGTGGGGTAAGGTGTGTGGTGACAGGCATGAGTTCAAGCTCTACCCTGGATTTGTGGCAAAGGCCACCTCTGGTCAACTCAGCAGTAAATGGTTTTTTAGTCTAGGGAGGCAAAGCTCATTAAAGATATTGCTAGCCACGTCATTCCCTGTGTTCCATTGTCTACAGACACTGACACATCCTAATTGCACTGGCACTGCTGGCTTAGAAAGACCTTAGATCTTGTAGTGGAGAGTGACTTTCCTATTCCGTCAACATCAAAATACACAGGCAAATATGGATATGTCTCAAGTGGTTCCTCAATAATTCCCCAAAATCTTACACACATAAAGACAAAGATGCTGTAAATGTGGAGCTAGCTATTGGTGTAACAGCATATGTTTTTAATTTATATTCTAGTAAAGCATTCCTGTATTCCACTTCTAACCAGATCTGCAGACATAAGACTATAATCGTTAAATGGCTTAATGTACCAGACACATTTCTGTCTTTATAGATCTGCCTAAGCTGCATTTTAAATAAAATTCTAATATGAATTTTTATTTTATACACCTAGAAGTTAAATGAGAAATTCATGAAGACAAGAATTTAACACTTTTTGTTAATTGATACAACAGTTGGTGCTAGAAACTTGTGAGCCATATTCATAGGCTGTAGGCAGGGAGCCTGAAGTCCCAGACTTTGCTTCTGGGTGTGCTTATGTATCTTACATGAAATCATTGATTGAAATGTAGAAACTGGGTTGGAAACAGAGACAAGAACACCAGACACCTCCTTTATTCCAAGACAATGCCTTCTCCACTGTGTTACAGACTTTGGCTCTGTCTTTCTTGTTTTCTCTTCAGGTCCATGGCTCTTACATTCCTTCCTGCATGGTGTCTTAGATCTAGCAATAAGGCTAGCAAATCTTCTCAGACCATCTTAGCCCACACCCGGGTGATTAGGGCACTCTCTTAGGGAAAGGAAAATGTGGTTTGAAGCTGACAAGGGTCTAGCACACAGGTTTCCCTTTTCCTGAGTATGTGTTCTAACCACTAAGCTATGATGCATCAATACCACCATTGACCTCTGTTTCTTAAAGAATATAATGATCCAGTTGCTAGTATATGAAGAGACAACATAAGACTAAGTCTACATGAGAGTTTCAGACTCTGAATTCTAGTTTCACATCGGTGCCTAAAATGAGATTGCAAGGAGGTACCTGAGTCCAAAACAAAGACAGGATCTCGCATATACTCTTCCCATCTTCACCATTTCCTATTGGCTTCATTTGGCATTCTCCCACACTTAGGTGCCCCACTCTCACTGTTTAAGTACATACCATATACACCATTTAAGTAATTTAGGGGCAATAAAGTTTTAACTGAAAGTTACATGTAGGAATACTCAGCATCACCAT